CAAACAGTAGTTTTACAAAATAGGGATTAGCTTTCTCAATATTATTATACTTATTTTATTATTCTGAGCCTCTGTAGCTAGTAAATGATAATGCTGAGGCCTGACTTTTGACCTCTGTGCTCCAACAGTCAATCTCTCTTTACTCCAGCATAACAAAATTTAGTGATGTAAGAAAACTAAAACTGATCTCAGTTTTAATAGTGAAGAGACTAACATTCTGCCACCTTGAAATTGCTTTTGGGGCTATTGATTTGAAGTTGTTCATTAAGAAACAAGAGACTCAGAAAGAACCTTTGACCTCTTTCTCCCCCCCCCCCCCCCCTACTTTTCTACTCAATGGATTCAGAGAGAGCAAACTGCTTCAGGAAGGAGATTTTAGGATGCTGCCTTAGCCTATTTTGAATTAAGTATGGTAAATAAAGGGTTTTAGGTGTCTGTTAGCTACATAACCCCTGTTATCCCATTGTTTCTGAGTCACCCAGCAAGAATGTTCCTGTCATGTGTGTTTCCCTGTTCCTCAAATATGGGTAAATTACTCATTCTCACTTCTTGAAATCTACTACCCTTTTTACCCACCTTTCTTCTTTGTCCAAACTGTGGTATATACCCAATACTACCTCACTGTCTTGAGAATTTTCATGGGCTTATCATGTCTTTGTGAATTCCCCTGTGCATGTATTAAATTTGATTTTCTCCTGTTAATCTATCTCCGTTAGTTTGGTTATTGGCTCAGCCAGAAAAACGTAAATAGTGGGAGGGAAAGTATTAATAAATATATTAATTTTTTACAGAGAGAAAGGGAGAGGGATAGAGAGTTAGAAACATTGATAAGAGAGAAACATCCATTAGCTGCCTCCTGCAAAGTCCCTACTGGGTATGTTCTTGCAACCAAGGTATATGCCCTTGACCGGAATCGAACTTGGGACCCTTGCATCCACAGACCAAAGCTTTATCCACTGAACCAAACTGGTTAGGGCTATGATGTAACTTTTGATAAAAGAAAATTTTGCACAATAATGAACTTGGAACACCAAGATTATGTTTTGAACTGCCTAAAGACAGTTCCTGATGTTACCAGTTGCATAACTCGGGATGTTTTTCCCACCTTGGCAGCCCTTCTGCTCTTGCTACTTGCTCATCCGAGTTTCTATCTCAGAGGTCCTGCAATTGTAAAGACAGCCACAAATAGACCCAGAGAGAGGCCCTGCTTCCGTCAAAGACCTTCAGCCCTTGAATAGCAATTAGATGTGTGTTTCTAGAGAGGAGAAAATGCAGGATGTTTGAGCCTGGGGTAGTGCAGTCAATACATAATATATTCCTCTAGAACTCTAATGCCAGTTTATTTAGAACATGAACATTTATAAAAACCACATAAAAAAAACTAAGTAGGCGAATGTGGCTTTCATTTTCATTATACACACAGATGAAAAAAAAAAAAAACCCAGACCAAAACTTGATCTCTAGGCTGTAGCTCTAATTATGGCCTTTTACATAACTGCAGCAGAAAGATTCTGGATTGTAGGTCAGTGAGAATATATTGAACACAGGGCTCACTAAGCCCTTTATTGAATATTGAAGAGGTTTGAGTTAATAGTGCTAGTCTTTTGTGACTTGAGGAAGATTGGACTGTAATTTGAGAAGCTAAAAGTGCTACCTCTTGGGATAGGAGTGGGTGGCTAGGAGTTTAATTGTGTTGTGGCTGAATCTGGAGTTAGATTTACTGACACTGTGGGGTTTTGTCACAGAGAACTACCTAAAATGCTCAGTTCTCACATCAGCTGCACTCCCCTCAGAACTTTTTTGAATTTTGATTAGTCTAGCCGGCTTGTCTCTTACTGAGCTCCTTCTTAGCTTACTTTAGCATTTCTTACTTAAAAAAAAAAATTAAAAAGCAACGATGGGTCCTGGCCAGTTTGGCATGGTTGGTTGAGCATCATCTCATGCTCTGAGAGGTCACCTGTTCGATTTTAGGTTAGGGCACATGCCAGGTTGTGTCTGGATTCTCAGTAGAGGGCATGCAGGAGGCAGTCTAAATTTCTCTCTCATTTAAAAAAGATATTTTTATTGATTTCAGAGAGGAAGGAAGAGGGAGAGAGAGGTAGAAGCATCAATGATGAGAGAGAATCATGGATTAGTTGCCTCTAGTCCAGAACCCAGGCATGTGCCCTTGACCGGAATCAAACTTGGGACTTTTCAGTCCATAGGACGATGCTCTATCCACTGAGCCAAACTGGCTAGGGCATCTGTTTCTCTCCCAATAGGGTTTTTCTCTCACTCTCCCTCCTCTCCTCTCTCCAAAATATCAATAAAAAACATTTTAAAAAATGCTGGGGCAGTCTTGGCCAGGTAGCTAGTTCGTTAAAGTGTTGTCTGAGATGCCAAGGTTTTGAGTTGAGCTCCCCCATCAGGGCACATACAAGAGGCAACCTGTCTTTTTCTAAAAAAGAGAAACAAATCTTAAAAAAAAAAAAAAAGTTCAAAGTAACATTTTTGAGGTGACAATGGATCTATAAAATATGAACAGGTGACACTTTAAAAAAACCCCAAATTATTAATAAGTTTTAGAATTCTAAATGAATAACTCAACAGAAGGGCTGGAGGAGAAGTCAAGGGAATCTTCCAAAATATAGAAAAAGGGAACAGAAAGAGAAAATTGAAACACATAGATGATCCACCAAGATGGGCCAATATCCATCTAAAGATCACCCGAGGATCTTCTTTTCCATTGCTTTTTAGAGAAAGTGGGAGGAAGGGAGGCAGGGGTGGTGGTGGTGGGGGGGGGGTAGAGAAATATCAATTGGATTGGTTGCCTCCCGCTCTATCCCCGACTGGGATGGGGATTGAACCTGCAAGAGCCAACTCTCTAATAACTGAGCCAAAACTGCCAGGGCAGGTTGATTATTTTATGTGCCATGACTGGGGATAGAATCCACAATCTTGTTCTATCAGGATGTTGCTCTAATCAACTGAGCTATCTGGCCAGGGCTAGTAGTAGTTTCAGATTGGGAATAGAGAAACTTGAGAGAAGGAAATAAATAATAGACATCTCCCAGAGCTAAAGTAACATCCAAGTCTTCAAGTTGAGAGATCTCTCCCACTGCTAATTCATATGAAGACAGACCCATATCTAGTCATATCTTGAAGAAACTTCACAAGTCCAAAGACAAACAGAAATTCCTAAAAGATACTTTAAAGAAAAAAAAAAATAGAGGCTACATCAAAGGTTGAGAATTATATTGGCATCACACTTATCAGTTACACTAGATATTGAATATAAGGGGATACTATTTGTCAAATTCCTGAGGGACAGTGATTATAAGCCTAGAACTCTAAAGTCAGCAAAATTAGCATTTAAGTGGGGAGCAAAATAAATATTTTTTTTTTGACTTGCAAGGACTGAGGATATTTATCAACTACAGACCATTTCTGAAATAATTGCTTAAGGATGTTACTACATCAAAATGAAATAGGAACCTAGGAAAGAGGAAGATACTAGGTTGCAGAAATAGGGCAATCAAAGGAAATTCTTGAATGCTAGTTGCCAATAAGCCTAACAAGGAAATAGTGTGAAGAAATTGGTTCATCTTTTGTGATTTAGAGAGTGGATAAAGGTTTTATTACAGTACTACAGGCCCAGTGCATGAAATTCATGCACTTGGGAGAGGGGGGAACCCTCAGGCTGGCCTGTGCCCTCTTGTACTCTGGGAGCCCTCAGGTGATGTCTGACTACTGGTTTAGCACTGCATGGAGGCAAGAGAAGCTTCTGCCACTGCTGCTGTGCTCGCCAGTCATGAGCCCAACTCAAGGCTTCTGGTACTGACCACTAGGGGACAGCTCCTGCATTGAGCATCTGCTCCCTGGTCAGTGCATGTCATAGCGACCGGTCATTTGCCATTTGGTCAATTTGCATAATAGCCTTTTATTACATAGGATTAGAAGCTGGATGCATGAAATTTGTGCAAGAATAGGGGCCTTCTTTCCCCTAGCTGCCACGATCGGGCTTCTCTCACAGCCCAAGCTTCATCTAGAAGGTTGTTCAGAAAACCATCTGGTCTAATTAGCATATTGTGCTTTTATAATTATATATTACAATTAAAAAAATCACAATATATTCCATTTTTTTCTCCAAGAGCTATGAGTTTGTAATATCACCTTCTCTACTGGGCCCAAATATTGTATTTGATCTACCCATGAACATTTTTTATATCATTAACAGATAGTGGTTCTTGGTTTTCTTTTTACAAAACAATTTTTTAAATTTGATTTTTAGAGAGAGAAAGAAAAAAGGAAAGAGAGAGAAATGAGAGAGAGAGAGAGAGAGAGTGTTGTTGTCACACTTATCTATGCATTCAGTGGTTGGTCCTTATATGTGCCCTGGCCGGGAAGCCCAACCACAACCTGGGTGTATCCCCACAACACTAATCAACTGAGCTACCTGGCTATGGCTGTTTTTGGTTTTCAATGCTGGGAATTAATTTACAGTCAATGTATGGAAGATTTAATTACCTTTAGAGAACAGAGTATAAAGATCATACACTCCGCCAATGAGAAGTAACAGCATGTTGAGAAGCCTAGGTGCAAAGCAAAGATAAAGAGAAGTGTAGAGGTGCTGAGTCCTCTGCCTTCCCAAGCAGAAAATCAAGAGATGATCTGTGTGGGGTGGGGGAGAGGGGGGCTGGGCAGTTTGGGAGGGTAGGAAGCCTCACCTAGGACACAGGTTTGGGGGATAAGGAAATGAGAAGAGAAGGGAGGTGTTTGAGAACTGGGGGTAAATTGTGCAAGTACTGGGCTGAGCAGGGAGGAGACACAGCAGAGCAGAGCGGAAGGGGCGGAGCCTAGCAGGGCAGAGCGGAAGAGGCGTGGCCTGCAGCCAGAGGCGCATGCGCAAACCCCCTTCCCGCCCAGCTCTCGCGCTCACGCGTTCCAGCCTTCGCTCGCCTCCGCGTGCTGTCCGGTGGCCTCGCTTCGCTTCGCCTGGCTTCACCTCACCCGCCGCCGTCATGCCCCGCCTGGTTATTCTCTGCCTGCACCGCCGCAGCCGCCTGAGCCCGCTTGCACCCCGGCTGGCCCACTCGGGGCCCGGTCGCAACCGGCAGCCGTTGTCCGAGATGGTGAGTTGGAACGCAGCCGCCAGCGCCGCGCTGACTGGACATGGCGGGCGGGAGCACGTGGCCTCGACCGGTGGAGAGGCCCCGGGCCGCGGCTCCTGCCGGCGGCTTCCAGGCTTGCCCGGGCCGGGCCTCTGTTTGGAGGGTGCTGGGTTCGGGCAGGGCCACGGTGAGCACCCCTTCTTTGGACCTGAGGGGCACCCAACGAGGACCCCGGGAGCGAGCGCGGCCTGAGAGTTTTGGGCCTCGACCGCGTGGGCGCCAAGATGGAGGGCAGAGCCTTGGCTGCAGAGTGTCCGCCACCGTCGCTGCCGCCTTCGAACGCCTTCTTCGTTACCCACGCCTGTTATTTCCCTCAGAGGGAGGGAAACCCCGCTCGGCGTCTAGGTTCCAGAGTTCATGGGTTGGAAGTGAGAAACCGTTAGAGGAAAAAGTAAATATTTTTCAAAAATGTAAGTTAGGTCATTAAGGAAAGGAAATCGTTTTTTTCTTTTTTTTTTTAGTTTTCCGCAGACCCGGGTTCCTAGGGCAACGGCCAGATTCCTCAAAACGAAAGCGGTTTTTGTTAGGCAGCGAGGGAGCCATCCTACTCACAGCGCTCTTCATTTTCCCTTCCAGGACGTGGCTGTTGGACTCGTGGTGTTTTTTATGACTTTCTTAACACCGTGTGGGTACATACTGCACAACCTGAGCCAGTTCAGAAGACAGTAGGTGCAAGAAGATGCAGAGCAGCTGTTAACGACCAGCAAGATTTCAGAGAAAAAGCTGCTCCTTTAAATGAGTAAAAGTGCCAAGTTGGATTGATGGGCATTGTGGGGGTATTCAGTTTCACGACCATATGTTTAGAGTCAATATTTTGCACTTTGTTAGGATCGTGCATTATATAAAGTTGAGCTGTTAAGTCATTTAAAAATGTTAAATAAAATGGAAGCACTTATTCATGCTTGGCATTCTGTGGTCACAGATAATTTTCTGCACGTCCTGAAAGCTGATGATAATTCACTGGTGAAAAATACAGTAGTGAGAATTGCTATGGCAGGTCAGGCTTATTGAACACAGTGCCATGGAATGTTATATGATAGGAGTGAATGCGTATATTTGGTGACATCAGCATTAAAGAGATTAGATATGTAGTTGTATGAGTAATATAAGTTTAGCTAAATAATCCTTCCTACTATTTGTACATCTGTTGTTATTGCCACTTAGAGTAATGAGATCCAAACTTTCCTTTGCACTTTGAGAAATATAACTAATATAACTTAAATTTGCCTCTTTAAATTCTTACATTTCAGGATTTAGTAAGTACCGGCATACTTTATTGTTCCTCTCCTGAATTATTATTGTTCTAAGTCGCCTTTCGGTTTGAAGAATGGTACATCTTTGAATTGTAGCTCACTCTCCCAATTATGGTGTGACTGTGGCCAGCAGAGTTCAACTGAACCTTGGTTTCCTTCTCTCTATAATGGGAACTTAAAATTGCCATCTTGAGGTGGGGATGTTCTGGGGGAGTAAAACATTGAACAAAGGTAAAACACCTCCCACCTGAAATAGATTAATCAATATATGTACATATGCTTACTAGTATTTACACAACAGGTAAGTACATTTCCTGTGATGGGCCAGATATTGTGGAGGTCAGTAAACCAAAAATAGGTCCCTGCTTCTGAAGGGCTTGGTGGACTTGCATTCTAATTACTTTAATATTTCTAAGCTTACACTTCAAAATTTCCATTGGTTTATTAGAGCACTCCAGAGAAACTGAACCAATATGGTGCAGTGTGTGTGTGTGTGTGTGTGTAATTGATTTTAAGGAATTGGCTCATAATTGTGAATGCTGGCAAGTCCAAACTCCACAGGGTAGGCCAACGGGCTGGAGACTCAGGAAAGAATTGCATTTTGAGTCAGAAGTCAGTCTGCTGGCAGAATTTAAGTCTGAGGAGAAGACAGTATTTTCCTTAAGGCCTTCGACTGATTGAATGTGGCACACCCGGATTACAGAGGGTAATCTTCAGTACTCAATGTTGATTAATTTAAATGTTAATTCTATCCAAAATATACCTTAACAGAAACATGTAGAATTATCATTTGGCCAAATATCTATCACAGTTGGGTAAATAATTTTTCAGAAGGGAACAATGAGAAGGGCCTGTGATACTCGTAAAATTTAAAATATTTTTTTTATTGATTTTTTACAGAGAGGAATGGAGAGGGATAGAGAGTTAGAAACATCAATGAGAGAGAAACATTGATCAGCAGCTCCCCCCCCCCCCCCCCCCCCCCGCTGGGTATGTGCCTACAACCAAGGTATATGCCCTTGAGTGAATTGAACCTGGGACTCTAGATGTTCTATCCACTGAGCCAAACCAGTTAGGGCACTCCTAAAATTTAAAACTATGAGTACAGTGGCTAATTTAAATCTTATTTGTCAAGATCCACCTTCTCTCTTCACTGGTGCCCACTCTTATGCCCCTTAAAGAGCTCTGGCCAATCAGGACACAGACTTTTCAACACAGTGTTACTGTTGTTGATTTTGAACTTTTTTTCTTCTCTGATTCTCATGACTTTGTGCTTAAACTTCTGATGCTTGCATTTATGCTCCAATTAATGACAAATACTGGTCTACCTTTGTCTTGGCTGGGGAAGAGTATTGAACTGTAGAAGTCTGTTCCTTAGAACTTTATATTTTTAAAGGAAGTAACCTTTTTAAAATGTTTTGATTTTTAGAGAAAGAGGAAGGGAGAGGGAGAAAGAAACATCCATGAGAGAGAAACATTAATTGCTTGCCTCCTGCATGCCCCCCACCAGGGATTGAGCCTACAACCTAGGCCTGTGGCCTGACTAGGAATCGAACCAGTGACCTCTTGTTTTCCCTGGTTGACTCTAACTGCCTGAGCCTCACCAGCTGGCTATTCCTTAGAACTTGAGCACTCAATTTTTGGAATCATTTATTTGGTACTCTTATTTATTGAGTACTGCTGTGTGCACAAATGGTAGCTCATTTGGTGAATTAGCTCTGTTGCTCTGTCTTAATTTTACAATGCATAAAGATGTCATATCAAAGTACAGCTGATTCTTGTTACTAGGGGTAGTTATGTTCTTTAAAGTCACTGTAAACACTGAGTTAGTGAATTCTGAACCATTGCTCCTAGGGGAAATACAAGGTTAGGTTCCTCTGACCCCTTTGTCACATTTTGTCAAGTTAGCAATAAATGTGTTTTTATTTAAAGATACCTTGTTTAATAAGTAGTATTGATTCACTGGAAGCCCCATGCATGAAGATTCATGCAAGAATGGGCCTTCTGCCAAAACTGGTTTGGCTCAGCGGTAGAGCGTCGGTCTGCGGACTGAAAGGTCCCAGGTTCGATTCCGGTCAAGGGCATGTTCGTTGGTATCGGGAACATCCCCAGTAGGAGGTGTGCAAGAGGCAGCTGATCGATGTTTCTCTCTCATCCATGTTTCTAACTCCCTATCCCTCTCTCTTTCTGTAAAAAATCATTAAAATATATTTTAAAAAAAGAAAAAAAAAGGATGGGCCTTTCTTTGGCTGCTGGCAACGCCTTTGCACCTGCTGGAGCTATCTTTTCGCTCTGGCCAGGAGCTGCCTTTTGGCCTTCCTACACTGCCCAGAGGCCCAGAGTGGCTGGGGCGGTGCAGAAAGCCTGCATTATCGCCATGGTGATGACACAAGTGCCCCAGCCACTGGATATGCAAATTAATCTGCCATCTTTGTTGGGTTAATTTGCATAATCCTGATTGGCTGGTGGGTGTCTTGAAGGTATGGTCAATTTGCATCTTACTCTTTTATTAGTGTACCTGATTCATAAACATTTTACTCATGGCCAACAGCACTGTAAATTGTGCCTGACAAAGCTTATCTAATATTTCATATTTTCCATATAAGACACCTTATAGTATTGTGCTTAGGAACTCTAGACATCACTTCAGCATTATGTAGCAACAAGAAGTACAAAATCATGTGTGACTAAGTAGACCATGGAAAAGGCACATAATAGTACAATATGATAGCTGAAACAAGAAGGCACCTTTCAACCTCACCATTGGGTGATTCAAATTTTACCCCATTCTATGCATGTCTTTGAATGATTTGAAAGCATTGTATTGATTTTGGAATTGCAAATCCAATTTTAGTGAGTAGGAAATTTTGCAAATATGGGATCTATAATACAAATAATGAGGATCAAGTGTTATTCTTGGAAAAGGTCTTGCTTCCATTTGCAAAAAATTTTGGGAATTCTTAGTGTGAAGTTTTAAGAGTTTGCAGGATATTCTTTTGGGAGTAATGGAGAAACCTTTATCCCTTGAGGTTGAATTTTTTAAAAAGTGGAATAGTTTTAAAAAGTGAATTTACCTTGGGGAACAAATGAAGTAGTGTACCTCTTGGTATTGGCTAATTGAGTTCTCTGGTGAGGGTTTGCTTCATGGGCTTAAGGATGCCTCCTCCCCACTCAGTCCTCACCTGGGAGGTGGGCAGGAAGGCTCAAAAGAAAGAGCTCTCTTCTCTCTTCTGCTCACATAAGAACACTATTCATGAGAACCCCATCCTCTTCTAATCATAAGTACCACCCTAAGACCCCATCTTCCAAAGACACATTGGAGTTAGGGCTTTGACATAGAACTTTTGAGGGATATGAGTCAGTCCATAGCAAAGTCATTTAGGTTATGTGGAGGAGGCATAGTGGAGAAAAAGAACATTGAGATTTCTGGTCAACAGAATAACGGCTTCCTTATGAGAGGAAAAAAAAGTGTTGGTAGGGGTAGGAAAATAATGCAAGGTTTCTGAAATTTGAGTTTAAAATATTAATGGGACATCCAGATATAAACATCTATCAAATAGTTAAAACTATGAATTGAATCTTTAAAAAAAATTTAAATTCTTTATTGTTGAAAGTATTACATATATCTCATCCTCCCCCGCCCATTGTCCTCTCCCTGGCTGCTACCACCTTCCAGCACATGCCCTTACCCCCTACTATCTGTGTCCATTGATTGTTTATATGCATGCATACAAGTCCTTTGGTTGATCTCTTACCTCTCCTCACCTGCCTGCCTTCTGAGGTTTGATGGTCTGTTTGGTGTTTCTATGTCTCTGGATCTATTTTTGTTCATCAATTTCATTGTTATGATCCACAAATAAGTTAGATCATGTAATACTTATCCTTCTCTGACTGGCTTTATTTTGCTTAGCATAATACTCTCCAGGTCATCCATGCTGTTGCTAATGGTAAGAGTTCTTTCTTTTTCACAGCTGTGTAGTATTCCATTAAAAAAACTTCCATTCCCTAACTGGTTTGGCTCAGTGGATAGAGCATTGGCCTGTGGACTCAAGGGCTCCAGGTTCAATTCTAGTCAGGGGCATGTACCTTGGTTGCGGGCACATCCCCAGGAAGTGTGCAGGAGGCAGCTGATCAATGTTTGTAACTTTCTATCCCTCCTCTGAAATCAATAAAAATATATTAAAAACATTGTCTTCAGTGCTAGCAGACAGGGGAACATAGATTATTTAATAAAAGACAATTAGAGCCCTAGTTGATTTAGCTTAGTTGCTAGAGCATCAGCCTGTGGACTGAAGGGTCCTGGGTTCAATTTTGGTCAAGGGAACATGCCTGGGTTGCTGGCTTGATCCCCAGTGTGGGGTGTGTAGGAGGCACCAGTTGATTCTCTCTCATCGATGTTTTTCTCCATCTCCCTCT